CAAAGGCAGGTAACTACCGTCCTGAGGTCGTTAGTTCGCTGTTAGGTAACTGCAGAACATAAGAGGTTCCAAGTTAACGTGTCATAGACTCTCTTGATAAGGTTGTCGACGATGGCAACATAACTGACGCGGAAGCGATTCTGGACTTCCCCGAAAGACCACGTAGGCTACGTGATCTCCAACATTTCCAGCCGTCTTACCCATTACATCGCAGGGTATGTTGGCCCGCAGACTCTACAAAAAACCAACTGCAAAATTTGCGCTGAATGGCTTATCTACATCCAAAGCACACGGAGTAAATATACAGCAGAAATCAGCTCATCCAACAGTTTGACATGGGTGGCTTGGTATATCCCTCAGGCTGCCTGGCGAGTCTGGTAGGCGTGCTCGAAGATTCGTCACGTAGTCTTCAGCACAACGGAAAGTTACGGCCGCAAGCATGGCTGACTTCGCGAGCTTTCCTCGAAGGAGCGGAGCTACCCAAGCTCGGCTCCTGCGCACACAATAAGGAGCTCACGCTTCGAGTCCTCAAAGTTTATGTGTTGCTAGCGTCTTCGCTTCTTCGTGAAATCCCTGAACCGATAGTGCTCTTGCAAACGAGAACCAGTGAAGCACATTAAGCTAAAGAGGTCCACCTAAGTTGCCCACAAAACGTGTACTTTTAGACTTTTACGTACATTACCCGGAATAAAGACAGTCTGACAAAAAATGCGACCATCTCCTTTGCTCTCTAGATACATGACAATTTTTCAAACAGATGACAAAAGTTGTTTTTTTTTTGTCCCTCGACCACGCAAATAATAATATTTTACGAAATACGAACCAATAAAAGAACAACGCCAAATAACAAAAAAATAAGGACGTGAAGGTGTCCTTGTGTAACAAAATTTACTCTGAATATGCATAGTTTTTCAATAATGAACGTAATACGAACATTTATGAAAGTAATATGTCCCGCGGGATATATTAAACAAAAGAAACATCGTACGGCCGACAAAAAACGTCAAATATACAGCGCTTTATATTCATCTAGAAGGACGAATACCATATCGTAGAGTCTGGCGCATTTATAGCAGAAGGACTATGAGGTAAAACACGCGCGCATGCACGTACGCACCCTCACACCCAAGCCAGTTGCCCGTCCGCACACCATAATACAGTCGCATTAGCAGTGAACTATAGGTACTTATAGTTTGTGGGATCTAGAATCGGCGAGCACGCGCCACGCCACGCTCTTGAAGTGAACGGACACGCCAGACGTGGTCGGTACGAACCAAATAACTACATTCATTTATTTAACTAATTATACGACGATATCGTCCGCCGAATGATACATAAATCGTTATCAACACGCTAAGTCATCATTACACAAAATTACCAAACACTCAAACAACGTAACGCAAGAGCACACAAAAGGCACATAACATACCAAAGTGGCGTCACCAACGCTTGACTTACCACGCCCCCCCCCCTCCCCCGGCGCGCAGGGCCCGCGGTGCACGCGCCGAGGACCCACGCTAGAGACAACCGTTCGCGGTAGTCGCCACCGCAGAAGACTCGCTCAACTCTCGCCTGCCACAAAGGCCTGCTTTTCACCAGGGGTCGCCGCCGGCGCTACTACTCTACCAATAGTGGTACTCAACGCAGAACACAACGCCATCTATCATCTGTGGTTGTCACTCCCGAAAGACGGCTTCACTGCGAAACACATGCATCACGCGGCGCGAACAACTTTACAGAGGGTGTCAGCACCCCCACAAGTTTGATTGCTCCGTTTGTTACCTTGCCTAATGCAAACAAGAACTTCGTTATGATTAGCCCTATTGATCAGCGTGAGAAGAGCCTGAGCCCAGATATTCATTGCACGCAACAAGAAATAGTTCATTTTAAAAACACGTCAATAAAGTAATGTTTTTCCCCTTTTGCATACAGCTCATTCTAATCGAATATAGTCGCAAAGATTCACCAGTGCTAAAAACGCAAGAGAACGTCGCAGGAACTAACTGGCAGTAGAGATCACTGTTTAGTTATGGTTGCATTAGGCCCCCGAAAACCAAAGTTTAAGGAAGCTGAACAATAAGCTGCTTGACGATGATGGTTTTGTGGACAAAATTAAACAGAGTATTCGGGAGCTTCGAGAAAGAGCACAAAAGTCTTGAAGAAGTATGGTTATGCTTTAAACAGGAGACAAATTTAATTGCGTTAGAAAGATAATCTAAAGTACAGAAAGAAAAGAATAGAAAAGAAAAAAAAGCTTGATTGTAAGCTTGATTTTTATTTAGCCATAAAAAGTGCTTAACCAGGTATTTACTGGAAAAAATAAAAGAAATTAAAGCCCTTTTGCAAAGCACTGAGCAAGACAAATACAGTGGTGCGGTTATACGTGCACGCGCGGAAATATTATGATGCGGAGAACCGACAAAAAGGGTGTTTTCGGACGAAAAAGATACGCAGTACGGAATGAGATAAAAGCGATCACATATCGCAACGAAATAATGCAGGATGACGACAATATTCAGCGTGCTTTTCAAGAACATCACCAGAACTTTTAAGAAGTAAAGAAGCGTGATGAAGGATTTGAAAGTAAATATTTAAGTATGCTACAATGTTAGATGATGATGTAAAGCTTAACCCGGAACAACCCATTAGTGTTGGAGAAATTGAAACGGCAATCAGCAAGTTAGCTGCAGGCAAAACCCGAGGCCCAGATGGTCTGGGCGTAGCTTTTTATAAGGCTTTCAAGGAGGACATATCGTTTATCCTTCACGACGTATTCATATAGGCACATGAGAAACAATATCTGCCAACCTCTTTCGAAAGTCATGTTATTTTGATAACGAAGAGTGACGACCCTCAGGCACTACTTTCAGTACGGGCATATCGCCCCATCAGTCTTACAAATACGGACTACAGTCTATACGAAGGTTCTCGGAGGGCGACTGCAGTCCGTTATAAAGACTAGTAGGGCCACATCAGACGTGTGGAATAAAAGGACGATCAATCATGACCAACATACACGGGGCAAGAACAGTCCTTGAGTGTTGTGATCATCTCTCAGAAAAAGTCACAATATTGCAGTTGGATCTTGAGAAGGCGTTCGATAGGGTGACACATCGAATTCTTTCTACTCTGGAGCACGTGAGTGTCGGATCGATCTTGACGGAGGGTGTGATGATATGTTACGATAAAGTAATATCTAAGGTAGTGTGATTAACTGGGGCAAGTCAGTAGGTATCTTGTATGGAGAGTGGGAAAACAAACCCCCTGAAATCGAAGGTATGAAGTGGCATTCTGAGCCTATGAGGTACCTTGGGGTCCCACTACAGCATTTACGAGACACTATAAAGATTACTGGACTAGTGAATGCGAGACAGTCAGAAAAAAAAAGAAGTTTGGTGGTATGGACCTTTCAATGTTCGCAAGAGCAACAGTGTGTAACCTCTTTCTTGTCGCTAAAATCTGGTTTGTGCTACAGGCCCTTTGAGCATACAGAGTTAGCATACAAATTGCACAGAGCGTTCGCCGTTTTCATATGGGATATCTACGTGGGAACGTACGAAGCGTACGAATTTGTTCAGGTCGGTTAAGCGAGGTGGCCTAGATTTAGCTCATCTGTTCTTGAAACAAGTCGTTTCACGCTTTCTCTTCTTACGCGATCAAAGGAACGTATTCTTACTGATCGTAATTCAGGAATGCCTGCGCGACAATTTACCCAATTATATTGTTTCATCACGAGCGGCGAAAGGGAGTAGAATTAGGGGTTTCCTGCGGGAGGTAGGGATGGCTTTTCAATTTTTGCTCACCCATTTTTCACTCGAGTATCTGAGTAATGTCCAAAGTAAGCAGTTGTACAAAGATGTTGTGGACGTAACTATGCAAGTGCCAATCTATAGGTCGAAGTACTCCGTGAAAATAGGGGCACATGTTTTAAAAAGGATAAAGCGGATGCCTATGCGTGCGTCTACTAAATGTTTTTCTTTCAACTACATAGTGAGACACTATCGGTCACACCATGGCTACAGGAAAAGGGCTTCTTTGTAGCATGGTCAGTAAACTACCTAATATGCAGGAAACCAGAGACTATAGAGCCCATTTTGTTGGACTGTTCTGATGCAATGGTTTGTGGGACGTTTTGCAACGCACTTAAAAAAAAAGAGCTACCGGTAACGCCTTACGGAATCCGCTTTCTCCCAACATCAAATGATGATAGAGTGCCTCATGACATGTTCGTGTTACTGGTTTTGCACAATTTATGGAAAACCCGAACGGCAGTACGCTACGAGCATATTAAGATACAATCTTCAAGAGAGAACTTCATTGAGAGTATGATACTAATGCGCCAGGTGTACATTGAAAAAGCCGAAGAAAATGATTAGCTTTCTCGATTTGATGAACTCTCAAACAAAAGTACTTTTAAACGCCTACGTCTGCCGAGAACTGGTGTATGTTTTTAAAAACAATTTCATGGTTATGTGTTGTATTATGAAAATGTGTTGTTCATTGGAATAAAAAAAAAAAAAAGGAACGAACTGGCACCGAAGATAGGCGAAGCACTCCTGCACCCAATCATGCTAGTTAAACACGGCCTCCAAGAAAGCCGAGCTCATCTCGAAGGCCGTATATTATCCGCAGACAATCCACGACTCCGAGATCTAGCGAGTGGTGGCGCCACCATAAAACGGAGTGTTTTGTTAATACACCGTGTTTGTTAACGAGCCGTTATCGCAAAAAGAGCCACGTCTCAGGCGCGAGACGGCACACTACCCCATTTCAGTAAACCACAGAAATACTTTAAAAAAGATTATTCACGATTTTTACTTTTAACAAGGGTTAAATGAACTTGACCACAAAGCACACTATCTTAATACTGTTTTTTAAAGTCAATTAGTTTAAATAACGAGATAATATACTCTAAACATTTTTCTTGCAATGTAGGGATATTTAGAGGGTCAATTTAGAGATACAACGACTCCAGGGGTTGGCATCACTGGTTGACAGGTACAATAACATTGCAACTTTGCGAGGGAACTTTCAGTATAGCTTAGAGCGCCCAACATTTGTTTCGCGGGCTGTTTCTTCGAGAGCAATTAATATTTGTTTTTGCCTCTGGTGTCATGAAAGCGCCATGTCTAGCTTTGACTGCATAGTTCTGTGCTGCTCTTCGCCTAAGTGGGCTTCTGCAATTGAAACAGGTGATGTCAAACATCCGGCGTGTACTCGATCTGTAACTGCTTCCATCGATTTGTAAGTGTCATGCTTCACTTTCAGAGCTGCGGATTCTCCAAGCTCGGAATATAATTTCTAAATCCGCCAAGATCCTTACCATCGAGGACCCTGAAAAGAACATCGGCAGCAGAGCCGCTACCTTGAGTGGACTTCTGGTAGCGACAAGATACTTGTGTGCTGAAAATGGATAGACAGTAAGTTGAGAATAGCTAGACGTCGACACTGTTGTGCACTAATCTGATCTTATGAAATGAATTCCTGAGCCATTACAGAGCTTCAAGTCAAACGCCGCATACTGCTGGTCGCACTCCGAGAACTTATCGTTAAAAAAGAAAGGGGAGCCCTAGTTGAAAAAAATTGGTGAGGCTCAAAAAAAGACGGGAACGAAAAAAAACACTAACTGGCGCGTGTTTGTCAGTTCGCGTCGTTTCTTCGTCCCCGTAATTTTACAGCGGAAGCTGCTATGAGATCACAAATCAGGACTCGTGCAGTTGTTCGCCGCCGATGTCGGTGACCACCTCGCGCGAAAGACAGTGGGGCTCGAACCCGGGTCAAGTGGGTGCCAGCCCAGTATTTTACCACTGAGCTAGACCTGCTTTGTTTTTTTCTTTAATGAATGGGATTACCACCAGTAAGTACACAGAACATACTTCATCAGAAGTCAGGCAAACACACACAAGCGTCAAGAACGGGAAGCCACTCCGGAACGGGGTCAAAAGTCTCGACAACACTGCGCACTTGAGCAGCTGCTTCTCGGAAGACAGATCTCATCGACCGTGGTGGCTCGGCGTGTCTATCGATCATGCGACTTTTACATAATGAATAAAGTCCCAACAACATAAACAAGTCGTAAGGAGTACTATCAGTCAGACTCTTTTTGAACGGAAGGAACCTAATACCATGGGCTGTGATTGGAATTCTTTTCTTAACGTTCTTTTTAGAATGTCCCAAAAATAATAAGCATCACGACAATGAATAAAACAATGCTCTATAGTCTTAGGTTGGTTGCAAAGTCTACAATTCACTGTCCAGGGTACGTATATTGATTTTTTGTTTTGTTTTTCTTTATTGACCACTGAGCTACACCGGTGCTCATGACTTGCTGTCAAACTTGCCCTAGGCAGGCTTGATGTCGAGAAAGCAATCGCGTTAATACAACTTATAAAGCGTTTTAAAAACAGCGAAAGAACAACCAGTCGTCGCACAATGCAAATAATGTAACGACTGGACCGTCCAGTGTTCCATCCCATCACAAAAACTTTTTTTTCCCCTATTAACTGTGGCACATACCCACTTTAGCCATATTTCCTCATTGTGGTCAGCCACTGCATGAACAATTGGCACAATATTCCTTGCAAGTGTTTAGCAGATACCACACTTCTCAGAAGAATGACGACAAAAATAGCATAGCGAATGCTGGTGTACTACCCAAATAAATTTATTAATAATGACCTAGTGGGTATCAAGCAAGTGTGCTTGCAGTAGTTACCCATGAGTGTTTCGAAAAGGCTCTAAAAGGTCGCTCTTTTAGCTTTCGCTGTGTCTGTGCTGCGCCTTCTGCGCAGGCCTTTTTTTTTCACTTTACCAATTTTTCTCAAGTATGAAACAAACTAGCTCAGCAACAAGCCGTATAGGGAGCCCTAGCACTGCTCCTTTCGGTGTCTGATTAGCTGGTGTTGCTTTTGCATCTTTTGCATCTTTGACCCTTGTCATCCGGGCTGCTTTGTGTAGGAGCTTCCAAGATTCCATTTTCGGAAAACTGGCACTGAAATAATGGCAGTTAACTGATGGAAACTGGTTATATTGTAGACGAACAAGCTGTAGAATTTCGGCTTCAGTGACAAGTTTGCAAAAATGGAGCGTGGCAGATGCCTCAACCACACCCTCTTTTTCGAGCTTGCTTGGCCACACCTCTTTGTTATCATAAGTTTGACAGTATTTCAAATTGCTTTGACCTACTCCAGAAGCGATATTTTAATCCTAGTCACATTTATATTGCTATATTTTTTTTCAGGTTGTAACCTCTGACGTACTCCAAAAAAGCCGGATCTTGATACTGTATCATGATGTAAGATGTCTACTGTTGATTTTACAACATTGTTCAAAACACAATTTTGCTGTTAGGGCTTTTTTAGTGTAACTATTTTTTCTCCATTCTTTTCTGTTCTCTCATATACCTCTCAAGAGCGCAGTTACATTGAGTTCACGCGTGCATCCTATTTATTTTGGCCCACTGAAGGGAACATAAAAGCACTTGAGCTTAGCAACACTGGGACATTTTTTTTTACTTTCATTCTTTATTTTCAGAATATTTATTTTAGTATTAAGCCCAGTGATAAACTGAAAAGAGCTGCAACAGGATCATTCTTAACTATTAAACTCATCTCTCAAGACTAACCTTTTCATTTTATATTAAAGCAATCATAGGCTCTCCATACTAAAATGTATACACTTTCAAGCTAAACAATGAGAGTGCTAGATTTGGTGTAGAGCACTGCTGATTTTTCAATTTTTAATGCGATGCATCTTGCCTGATACCAGGCTCTTCACAGTAGATTCCTGGTGGATTTCAAGCTAGAAGGCATTGGGTCACAATAACAATATGCTTTATACCCATCAGGTCTCAAATGCATGCACACTTGTTTTGTGCAAACTAGTGCTTTGCAAAGAGCAGCATATGTGTTAGATTGCATTGCTACGATTTAAGAACGAAGAGCATGTGCATGCTTGCAATTTTCTTTTAGGCCATAAAGGCAGAAATAGAACGTGTAAACAATTGTCAATAATACCACAGTCCTCCACATATGTATGGCCTGGGCCACAACCTTTTTGGTTGGTCTTTGTTGGCTGTCTCTTCATCCAGTTTAATTCGTTTTCTTTTTTTCACACAATCGCTACACTTCAATTAAAGACTACAAGTAGCATCCCCTATTTTTTCCTTGGAATCATGAAGTCGGCTTCATATGGTTGTGTCCAACAAAGAAAATGGGTCTCTTGACCCATTCGCCTTCCTTAGTATATCCATTGAAAGAGTATGGTGTATTGTTTAAAAACAATCTTGAAAGACCAACAAGCCCCAGCACTACCCGGTTACTGAAAAAAGAAGTTCTTTATAAACTCAAAAGCACACCAGTATTCTTTTCTGGTGGCTGCTATCATTTTGGAAGGCCATGTGACACTCATGTAAGAGGTTGCACGGTTATATTACTGGAGCACAGTAAAGTGCTTGCTGTTACTATTGTTTTCTTACTATTGTCCTCATTATGAAGCCATCAGTGCTGTGACATTGCCTCACTGTTACCACAAGCTCCCATTATATGCACAATTTTTTAGATTACCAAAATCTTAAATTCACTTCTTAAAAAACTGCAAAATACTGTTAATGTATATTTGACTTTGCAGGGTGGAGACTATCTTCTAGAACCTTGTGGAAGAGCTTTCATGAGTGTGCCGGGCATTTACGCTGCTTCCGTTGCCAGATCGATGGTCAATCTACCAACTTGGAGAATCTGTTCAACATCACCTCCCAAGTACACAATTCCCTTATGCTTACTGTTGTGCATAGTCTGGTCACACTTATTTCACCTTTTCCAGGGTTTTTTAGTTAAAAACACTTCAAAAAGACTGTTTTTTTGTTTGATTCTGCATGTCTAAAACATTGAGAAAAGCTGTCTAAAGGTGGCTGTATTCGCAAGATACATTTTTTAGAAAATATGCAGATGATTGGCTTCACTGCATTCGACGATTGAAGGGATCCCCAACTTCGCTAGTCTCCAGCGCACAAAATGTCAGTTTGAATTTTGAAAAACATGTTACATTGGGGCAAGTGAGCCCATGAAAGAATTGCTTAAGACGTGCCAGTGGCAGTTTTGTCTGTCTGTATCCACTGCAGATGTGTCAACGCGGTCGCTGTCTGAATGTGATGATTTAGAGAAAATATGCTGCTTTGTCACTGCCACACTTGCAGGTGAACTGAAATTATTTATTTCACAAAATTTTGACAAACAAGCATTTTTTATTATATTGCCTGAACAGAGCTGTTGCCAGCATGCGTGTGCCACTCATGCAATGAGAAGGACACCTTTTTTTGTTTCCGGCTACCAGAATCAAGCCCTTTCTCGGCCAAATGCATGCTTTGAGTGCATTTTTTAAAATACTTATCTGTGGAAGCCAAAGAGAACTCCACAAAATTAATTACGTTAGCTTAACTACAGTGCACCCAAATGCTTGTCTCAGAACGGACGAGCACAGCTTTTCTGGTGGGAGCAGCGTAAACTGTGTGGACGAGTTCAGGCTACTTCAGTTGGGAAAGGGTTAACACTGTGTTAAACCAGTAACCCCTAATCCCTTCAGGCGCAGCCTCCACATATGTGGGCAACTTGCTTTTGCCAGTTTCTCGGATCAGTGAGAAAGGAAGGGCAAGATACATTGTGCATAAGATCAATTGAACCTTCTGCATAGCCAATGCATCTTTATTTAACCTCAATGTGCTGCATAGATCTGCAGCTGATTATTTTAGTGAAAGCACCACGATGTTCCACGGGTCACTCGACCTGCCATGTTTCAGGACCAACTTTATAAGTATTTTTTTTTTATTTTCTCAAAATGAGTAGAACCAAGAACTAACTGTATGCATTTCGGGCCTCAGATTTCCATCTTTATGTGTAAAAATTGAACATGACTGACTGCAGAATAATTAAATATTTAAATATATGCAAATTAAGAAAAAATATTGAAACACCAAAAATAATCTATTTCTTAATTTTCTTTTTTTTTTTTGAAATGTGATATATAGCATCTTAGAATGTTATGCAAAATTCAGACTTCTACAGACAGTTCATCATACTTTGTGCCTGAAGAGGTGCAATAGCTTTCTTGAACACCAAATTGTGTAACAGTGATAGGGGCTTTGTTTTGTTTTTTATTATACTTCATTAACCATCACTGTACTAAAGTCAGCTTTATGAATTCATTGATTGTTTTCAAGCTCACATGTGCATTCTAGGTAGTGTTCATATTGTTTGCATAATAACCAATTTCATGAAGTTTCTAATTATACTTCATTAAGCATCACTGTACTTAAGTCAGCTTCATGAGTTCATTGATTGTTTTCAAGCTCACATGTGCATTCTAGATAGTGTTCATTTGCATAATAATCAATTTCATGAAATGCCTAATTTTAATCGACCCTTTGTGGTGCTGACAAGACAACGTGACCATAGTAGTTAGTGGTCAGACAGTGCACAAGTTCTTTCGTGGTTGAATAATGCCTGTATTTTCTTATTGCATAATGAGTCATCTCTAAAGGAGTGAGTCAACTTCTTTCACTTGAGCTTTAATTTCTTTAGTTTTGCACTACAAGAGACAGAAGGTGGGTAGAAGTTTTGGAGTGTTGAGGGTTAAAAGAGAGAACCACTGGCAGGTTGTGCACCCATACAGCAATCATACCAAACACAAAAGCTGTAATAGTTCAGCTTCATCACGAAATAAGGGCAACTTTCATTAAAAAAAAAAAAAACGCGGGACGAAAGCACTCTGTTCCATGTTTTTTTTCTATGTCTTCATGCAAGTTACTCTTTTTTTCATCATGAAACTTTACCAACATGCCCATTTGACAGTTATCCTACAAGATTCAAGCTTGATATCTGTCGAATGGGTACACAGCTATATGTAATGCCTGTCACACGGGATCTATATATGCAAGGCAGCAGTCTCCTAATCTTTCCAGTGTTACAGCAACTGGCTTGCTCTGAATTATCAAATACCCACCATATTGGCTCCTGTTGTAGCCTTCACTAAGACTCTCAACGAAGCACCCAAGCTATGCCTGCAGCAATTTTCAGCACCACATCAGGAAGGGAAGCACCATTTCTTATTGCAAGGGTACAAGAGCACAGAATAAGGACACAGAAATTTCTTTGTCCCATGTGCTTCCTTTCCTGTTTTGCTTTCATAAAAATGGATGTCAACCAACTTGTCCAACATTCCAGATTGCTACATTTCATTGCAGCAGTTCTTCATACGCTAAGGACATGTAAAACGGTAACACAGTTTTGCAAGATCATTTGCGCAGTGCCTACTTCATTATTTAATTACTTAACCCCAACAAAACCTTTTGTTCAAGCAAGTTGAGGCATACGTTTTTGAAATTTTATGGTGTCCTTCAATTTTGCTTTATATTTGCCGCGAGTGCTTTAGTTTCAATCTATGATCGAATGAAAGTACGCTCGAGGTATTGACAGTATTCTTTTTATGTATTACGATTTTTTTACATTGTTCCAAGGCTTCTTAAATCTAGGAGATATGTGTGTTTTTGTGTTTTTGTTAGCAGCTTTCTTAGAATAGCAGTGGCAACAAGTCATCTTGCTCCGCAAGGAAATTTATAAAAAGATGAACTACAGCTTGTCTTGGGACTCGGTTAGGTTTTAAAGTGACTGAGTTTGATTTTCTTAATGGTGTTATAAACTTTCTGTACCTTTCTGTCAGATGCAAAAAAATGGTCCTCCAGGCGTATGGCTCTGCAGCACAGACATGGTTTTGACCTGCAGTGATGTCGGTATGAGAATATTATTTTGCTTCTTTAGAATGTTAAAGGGCCCCTAAATCATTCAGAGGTTGAAACTAGGTGTAGTGGGGAAGTTGTGCACGAGTTTAAAATGGACACGAAGCCGTAAGAATTTCTGAAAAATGATGCCTTAATAGTGGAGTTAGACGCGCTTCATTATCAAAATGTGGCGATCGTTCTTTCCTCCTCTATGCTCCGTTAGTATTCTCTCCCAAAGCCACTTTGCGCTCTTGCGATGCACCCCTTATCTCGCGTGGCATGTAGGGGCGTGACATGAGGTCTGTGCATGGCTAGGAGAACAAGTGCTGCACGGAGGTGGCACACATGGGCAACACGACAAACAACAAGGAGCACGAACAGCTGCTTGAAGAATAACTGGAAGGCGTAGGTTCTTGCTCGACCAGTCACAGCATGATTTGTGTAACGCATCAGAGATTCAACTTCTCGACGTTGTGCTGTGGCCAGCGATCCCAGAGAGGAGGATGGATTGTTTCTCGGAATTTGTGGCGGACCAGCGGCTTATAGCGCGGCCATGTGTGGCATTGTTTATCATGACAGCATTCTGCACACAATGCGTGTGTTTACGTGAAATGTTCGAAAAAAAAAAATATTGGAGGTGATTAAGGGGCTCTTCAACTCTGAAGTTTTGTTTACTGTGTATGCTACATCCTCATCAGTATATAATGACATTCAGTAAGTTCAGTCATTTTTGCAGCATATGTTGCAAGAGTGATTTAATAACTGAATTTTATTTTGAATACTGTTCACTATATTTTACCAGATTACGGTGATGTGTTCACAGCTTATGTAATGGTGAATCTCATTTATCTTTTCATACTGTTGAACTTCGTTATAAGAGGCATGCTCCGGGTGGCAATTCTTTTCTTTTTTGTGAGATGTCTCTGATAAGCAGGGTGCCATGTATGCATTTTCTTATCGACCGGTATTTTACTGTAGGCACACTGGTGTCTCTCATGCCCAATTGTCTCTGATATCAGTGTCTGTTATAAAGGGGCTTGACTGTAGTTTATTTGGAAGAGTTCTGTAGAATAGTGGCCTTGTTCGGTTCTATAGTGAGAAAACATGTGGATAAGCTGTAGGCCATGTATGATAACTGAAGGATGTTGTAGTTATAAAATTAACTTTCATAAAGCTGAAAAAAAGCCTTTATTTTCAAGTCCAAATTAATTATCCCAATCAGAGAGATGAATATGTCAATGTTTAGCTTCTAGTTAAAAGTTTTGTGGTAATACTCAGTTTGATGTAAATGAAATCACTGATAAGCTTACCTGGCATTTTTTCAATGAAGTTTCACCATGAAGTTTGATTGGTTTATTTTTTGGTTGATTGTCCCAAAGCAACATACGAGCTATATTAGGCAGTATGTCCGTCTGGTGTTGTGCATGCTATATAAATCATTACCAACTTGCAGGAACATGAGTTTTTCTGCTATGCGAGACTTCCATAGCAAATAAGCTGTCCCACCGGGTGCTTATAAGGTGTAGTGCTAAGTGAATTAAATACTAAAATCAGACTGCGTGGTAACTAATGCTATTAGCCCCACTAATGAGTGCTTTATCCTTGCTGGAAGACAAAATGCTACTGCAGTGTGTTGGAAAGACTTATATAACTTGTGTGGGTTGATCCTTGGGTGTTGGCAAACAAGCTGGAAAAATTTCAGGGCATTTGGTCAAGAACTAATTTATAGCGAGCATTTTTATAAACACACGAGCGGCCCAAGAGTTTGACAAGTGACGCACTCGCGACTGGTGACTTAACAAGTGGCTTGTTTTGCAAGCATCGGTATTCCAGCCAACAATGTTGTTTCATGGTCAGCTGCACATGCAGTGGAGTTCGTGAAGTTTTCTTCAATTTGGCATTGAAAAGTGAACTGTTTGCAGCAGCAGAAACTTAAATGTAAGATGACGGTTTCGTTGCACGAATCACATGGCGCCATGATAAAATTGTCGTTGCTAGCAATGGGCAGGGTTTGTAGCCGGTGACTTTTAAAGCTCATTTTGCAATGAAACATTTTTTTACGGTCCATTTTTCTGACATGTGGAGGCACAATAGTCACTTTTCTATATTTTGCCAGAAAGCACGTTATGAGGGGCGACCGTGTCATATAGCCCCTTTAAAAGATAATTGGCACGCAAACATGGACAAAAGAAAAAAGGTAAAGACAAGATTTTGTGTCAAAGCATTGTTACCACTCCCACTCTGTAAGGCCTCTGGCCCTGAGGGGTTACAATAAAATGGAAATGAAACAGAAATGCCAATTAATTCGCAAAGCAGGTTCAACGCAAACACCGATTTCATTCGCCCAGCTCCCATCGACAGCACGAAATATTCTGGTTACCATGCTGGATAATTATTAGGAGCGAATAGTGAAGCATTGCACACTGGTTTCAACACTTTTACATGTGCCGAGTGCGCCTTCTGTGAGTTGCTTCACTAAAACAAATTGATTATTAAAGGCTTTTATATCTGAAGAAAATACATTGATATCAAAACACATTATGTGGCTCATGTGCTTCAAAATTTGAGCAAGCTTTGCTTATGCATGTTCACAATGCAGGAGTTAGTCTATTGTTTTTTGTTCTACTGTTACTTTCACCACATTGACATTAGAGTGATTTCTGTGACAATGTCCCTACTTGCCTCAAGGGATTTTCTGATTCAGCATCTTTTATTAGCACATTTTTATAGCTGAATTCTTGCTTTGCAGCCATCGACTGGTCCTGTGTTAAAGATGGTCTGCTCATATGCTCCATTTGCGATCCCCACTATGCGGCAAATCATGGTGCTGTAAAAGTGAACAGTGATGTAAGGGGCTTTATATTTTGTGTGTGTGTTGTGTGTGTGCACAAAACTATTTCAGTCCCCACATGGCATGAAATCAGTGCTTATTATGCAACGTTTTTAAAGGCGAAGCGCTTTTTTCCGAATATAGACAAAGTAGAAGAGGAAGCAAGGCTGACATGCACAATCTTGACTAGTCGCTGGCAAAAAAGAGGCCTCGTGAAATGCCTAGCAAGCTAAGATGACACCATTTGCAGGCCATAACTGCAATACATGTGTTCTTCTGTGAAAGCTGTTTTAATATGAAGTGCATGTTTATGGACAGCAATACACACTAATTGCATCAAAAACATAGGTGCAGTCATTTTTGGTCAGTGAAGGATTGTTGCAGTTTAAAATTGACGCATCTTGTATCAGAATAAAGCATATGTACCACTCAGGTGTCATCTATTCACGCTTTGTACTGCTGTCAGAAATTGCTGAATTTGCATAAATGTGTGAAACTAAATAAACCTCGGTTATCAGCATTGCTGTTTGAAATTGGGTGTTGAACTTTTCTAGCAGGGACATGTCATTATTTAATCCTCAAGTGTTGTATGTCTACTGTGCAACACATGTCCATTTCAAGTTATGTCTTGATATTGTCATAATAAACTAGCCAATAAGGTGAATTTAATCTGCAAACCTTGTGCGTGTTTTCACCCAGAAAGATCTATTGATTGTTGATCGTTATGTTTGGTGCATTTATACCTTAATGCTGTTTGAAAGCCCCATTTTATGCTGTAGCACCCGTCATTCCTTTTCTTTCAGGGCAAAGTTTCAAGCATTCTGTATTGTGGAACATTGCAAGCCTTGCGGGATTACACACTTACCGATGGAACGGTTCTTGTAAGATTTCACCACTACTCACTTGGAAATTTTGTTCTAAGTCTGCTGTAATGGAGTTTTGTTTCTACTACGCTAATTATTTTGCACCTACTTTTAGGTCTAACTTTTTAGGTTACCTACTGAGTTTTTGTTGCATGTTTTGTAAATGAAAATTTTTTAGGCAGCAACGTACATTTATGGTGTCCTTTACAACAAATATATATTTTTGAGCATCTGCTGCCTTCAAGGTTTTTGACCACAGTTAAGGCAAAGTACACTTAAAAAGTAATCGCAGTTTTGTCCTCATATATAAAGGTCACTTGAAACAGTAATCACTTTTTGATAAATGTTTTTCTACAAATGAGCCTGGGTAACTTGTGAAAAATATAAATGCCACTTCAGTGCTAGTTAGCATACAAGTTGATATTTAATCAGAATATAGAGATGCTTGTCTGATAATGTCGATGTTTATTAAATAGACCGAGGTAGATGCATTTAGTCTGTAGCTTTTTATACAGTGACACTCGCATCTGCAATGTGGCACTTCAGACAAGATGATTTCAGTTGGAATCATTCTGATGCCTTGTGTTTATGCTAAGATGTTAATAATTTATACTGTACTTACCTGTTTATCAAAATTATTTTTATATTAATTTATTTGCTATAGTATAACTAATGACTGTAACAGGCTTAATGGTATTGTGTCAATTCATTTTCTGCATTTCTTTTCTAAGTGTTAAAGTAAATTCCCGTTAAGACGAACTCTGTTAAGAGGAATTTTGCTTAAGACAAACAACACAAGAGTTTCCCATAGACTCAATACTAAAGAAACCTGCTTAGGAGGAACCGTGTAATGAACCCCTCCAGCTAAGGAGAACTCTCGCAGCAACACACAGCGATGGGGATTCTGCACGACGAAGAATATAGTTTTGATGAAGGCATTCAGGTGAACAAAAGAAAGGAAAAAAACGCTTCCTGGCACAAAAACTCGAAGCAAGTCGGAAGTAAATTGCGACATGGAGGGAGAAAGTGAGATAAGTGGAAAACAAAGGTCAGCGCGTAAAGCTAGTATATCTCCCTCACCTCTAAGTGGAGAAAGGGTCGGCTTCATTAGCAAAGAAAGCAACAAAAAGTGTTCGTCCTTTCATATTTTCCTCGTGCTCTTCTGTTCTCCAACAGGAGTGCAGTAAAGACCAGGAGAACACAAGAGCTTAGCTAGAAGAGAAAATGCAAGGGAAGAGGTGAAAAGAAGCCAGATGAAAGTGAAAACGGGAACAAAGGTTCTCTGCACGTTATAAGCACATGAATCGGAAACCACATATGCGGCACTAGCGCTCCCATCGGAGGAGTCAGATGGCGCCTGAGCACATGTTTTGGTCTGTTTGCATTGTTATTCATAGGACCTTAGTGCATCATATCTATTCGTAGTGGAATGCAGTAAATTATGTTGCTCCATTTTCATTATAAAGGTGCATGACAAAGGAAGGTAATTTTGCACACTAGTTGCGTCGTGTCTTTTTTGTGCGCCCGAGACTTGTGATCATGAGTAGCTTAAACGTAGATCTTCAGCGGCGTGTCATTCAGGAAAAGTTGCTGTGGGCTGAAGATAAGAAAATATCGGAAGCTCGAAGAAAAGCTTGCAGACTTTCATTAAAAACAGTATATATTGGCTGTGTCACAGTAGCGGTATGCAATGGAGGAGTGCCCAAAATTGATAGCAAAGCCACTAAAACAGCCTCTAAGCAGGTGAACAGCAAGAAGAATAATATTTCCATTATATTTGAAGGAAAATTGTGCATGTCTCTTTTTATATATTTCTAATCGTCAAAATAGAGTCGTGCTTCAGTTTTATTGTTAAATGGTGATAGCAATTTATTCATGAGCATATTTGTTATGAACTCGCAAAATCTAGTACTCATTCAAATTGTCTAAATACTCTACTTTAAAGCATTGTTTTTATCAAGCTGAACCAAACAAAGCTTTTTTTTTGTTCATTTCCTACCCATTATAAGTATACTTCACTCAGTGTCTTCAAGGAACATATTTGAGCACACTTGGCATGTAAGCATTTGGTGTTTGGGGGCACCTCTGATAAGACTAACTCCTGATAAGATGAACAAATTATCATGTTCCCGTTAAGTTCGTCTTAAAAGGAATCTATTGTATTTATTTCTTTTTATAGAAATACTACTGTGTTGCCTCAAACATTGTTTGTTTATTGTGATGAACAAGCAGTTAGTAATAATAACGTGATAGCATTAAAGAGCTGGTTTCATACCATAAAACCCAAAATATAGGTTGACCCCCCCCCCCAAGCTTTGAATCTACGAAAAAGAAATTTTTAAAAATTGCAAAGTATCGCAGCGCACACTTACGTTGGTAAATACACAGCACAACCAGCTGCACTGTGGTGACATTTCTTTTTATTTGGACACTAATCTTATGTAGGTTAACGCCACAAGGCGACAAAGTGCCGTCATTCAGACTAGTCTAAACTTGAGTCCGTCGACATCTGTTTTTCACTAGTAACGTCCCAGAGTGCATCGTCTTTTGTTCTATTCAATGCGTTACTGAAGCAGAATTTGCTGAAAGACTGAAGTACGCCGCTTCAGTGCAAAGCCTTTTTGCTTCATAAATCTGTGCACCCATGATGGTGATCTGTTGAATTGCACCCTCATGAGCCCAGAGTCGCACGCTATCTCGAGAGCTTTCATGCGGATGCACTCCGCTGTTATGGGTAGTGACCCTGAATGCAGCTCCTGAACGAATCTGGCGGGTAACATTTCCAGTTCAGGGTGTGCTGCAGTCCATCAATGAAAAGGAATTTTTTTTTTTTTGGTGGCTGCAGGACGTGATGCGCTGCTTTTGGCTCCTCCAGTATCGCACGCTTTTATCCGATGCACTGAATTCTAGCTGTGCTGCCAGATTGCCGTGAACTTTGGCATACTCGTTTTTCTTAAAGCCTATCATAAACTGCCATTGACTACGACTCATTTCTGAAGGATACAGAAAAAAAAACAGACCTACACCAGATAACCGAGGCAAAGTTGCGTTGCTAGAACACTGTAGGCCTTGCCTAGCTTTACCCAACGGTGTCGCTGCTGATGCTCGCGTTGGCAATTTTTCGATTTCACTTGCCCATTTTTGCGTGACTTCCACATTTTTTAACTGCTAACGACCAGTATATAAAACGAGAGTGGACTTTTCTTTGCGTCTTCTTTTTCAATTCGGTCTATATTCCAGTTTCTTACGGTAAAAATTGTGGCATCGGGGTCGTTGATTCTGAGCAAAAAATTATCTTGTGCATGACCGAAAAATTTAGAAAGATTAGAATAAAATAAATAATAAAAAATTCTGGGCCTGACTAGGGATTGAACTCTGGTCGTTTGCGTGGCAAGCTGGTGTTCTACCACAAAGCCACACATCTGCTTGTGAATATAATGAAAATAACTTCCTCTGCTTGGTAATGCAGTGAAAGTAACTTTGATGCTTTACAAACACATGCGCCCCATATACATGCGTCATACAGTTAAACCTGTTTATAATGAACCTCCATATTACGAATTCCCCGATATGATGAAGTTTTTTTATTTCCCGCCGTTGCTCCATAGAAGTACATGTATTTGTGACTTCTATGTAACAAAGTAACAGCGGAAGACAACCTTGATATAACGAATTTTCCCCACGGACAATCTAGAAATTCCGCTCCGCATTTTGTTACGAGCATGCGTAGGCGTACCAGCTTAGAGAACACAGCGAATGTTAAATGTCAAGCGATTTCGAGCACACAGCGAATGTTAACGGGTGCAACACCGCACAGAAGTTGGGCTACGTGTATTTTCCGCTTCAAGGCGAAGCCCGAACATGGTTCACGAGTCGCGTGTGATCGTCTTGGGATAGGTTCCGGCAAAAGTTCCTCCTCGATACGTTCGCCAGCACCGAAAGATGAGAAATTGCACAGCTCTCCTCGAGTCACGGATTCAGAAACCAAATGAATTCGTTACAATATTTGTTTGAGGACATGGCGTGACTGTTTCGTCGAGCAGATCCCAATATGCCTGAAGCCAAAAAAGGTTAGCCACCTCATGCGGGGCGTTAAGGAGCAGCTGTTCGCTGGTCTCGTACGAAACCCGCCTACAAGTGTTGATGAATTCTCCAAGGAGGCGACATCCATCAAACGCGCACTGCATCTACGCTACCGGCAGTATGACTGCCCAACCCACGGTGCGCCGATCAGCGCGGCAGCCACGACCACAGTAACGACACCCGACAAAGGTTCTTTGCACCAACTACAAGAAGAGGTCAAGAAGCTCATCGCCAAACCGAATGACTGCGCAGTTGCCTCAGTAACAGAAGTTGTGCACCAGGAGATCAGGCAAGCGCTCTCGCCTCCCGAGCCGAGCACGAGCACCCCCAGGACAAGCTATGCAGACATAGTCCGCCGACAGCCAGCGAACGTGCCGACACCGCATCAGTAGCATCAGCAACATTTGCCGACAGCGCCTTGGTACTACAGAGAAACTTCAACGCCGAGGCGGCCATCACTTCGCAAAACTTGCATCTGGCGTACTCTTGACCGTAGGCCCCTGTGCTTTCATTGTGGGGAAGCAAGCCATATCGTTCGGTATTGCCCGTATCGCGTGCAGGGTTTCCTTCCTCTATTCCTCGGCGGCATTTTAGTGAAACACCTGACGTCGACACGAGTGTCATGACCCCGCGGGATATTTCTCCTGGGTTTCGGTCGCACTCACCCTCTTCTGGGCGTTATTCTCCATCCTCTAGACGGAGCACCACTGACATGCCAAGAGGAAGATCTAGTCCACGCCGGGTAAACTAAAAGCAGCGACCTCAGGGGGGAAGGTTGCGAATCGTCGAAGTGCTGAAAATACCCCAATACTGCCGAGTGAAGAGACACACATTTTCAATGATTCGGTGAAAGATGGGGTTGTTACTGCAGATGTTGCAATTGCGACTGACGGATAAGACGTCATGGCATTGGTCGACACTGTTGCGGACTTCTG